ATATTATTATATCTATCACAACATGTGTCACTAGTGTATTCCTCATGACCTCTCTTCTATGTCTCCTCTTCCTCAGTGTTGGTCTCTGTGTGTATATTTTGTATATACACTGTGTGAGGTCATCTGTGTGTATGGTAATAATGTGGCTCCTGGACTCTGTTGTAATTGCAGGATATATAAGAGCGGTACGCTCTCCCCTCTGTTGCTGATTATATAACATTGGTGTGTTGTTACTTCAATGTAAATAACAGTCTAGCGGGAACTTTGTCCCGTTCCTGGCTGTACATTGAGGATTTCTATTTATTGTACAGTACAGGCTGTGTACATTTCTTTTTTTTTTTAAATTCATTTTGTACACAATTCCCCTCTACTGTGTCGCGTGAACTCAAGGCGAATTATAAAAAAGCAGATTAGTTTGGAATATGGAGCTTCTGAAATCACTGTGAGGGGAATTTATCAAAATCTGGAGCAGACAAATTCTGTAGCAGCTGTGCATGGCAACCAATCTGCATCCACCTTTCATTTTCAAACCTTAACTGAACACACTGAAGAGAGAAGCTGATTGGTTGCCATAGGCAACTGCTCCAGTTTTGATGAATTCCCCCCTATGTGAATATGAGAGATGTTCTTACACAGAGGGGTAGCAGATACAGTAAACTCTGTTATTGGTATTCAACTAACCAGAACTCTCATCTAACCAGGAAAAACTGAACTGCAGCATGTACTATCCTGGAACTGGTTGTATCTATTTGTCTTATTTGCTTTTTATTCCTGCATTTCAATATGAATATGAAGTCAATACAGAGTTTATGTTATGGTATGATATAGTATGGGGTATGGCATTAGTTAGACCTATGCTTAATAGTACCTCTCAAGCAACCAGAAACTACATTTATCCGGAATCTACCAATCCTCGTGGATGCTGGATAATGGGGAGTTTTCTGTGCAAACAATGTACCCATCTCCCCTATTAAATGTGTCCCCATCATAATGACTGACAACACTCATGTAGTAGCATCAAACGCTGATGTGGTTTTTGTCTTGTTCAGAAGTTGAAGTGTCAGGAGAAGGGAACATTTCTCTGTATCTGTTTGACATTTTTGGGAATCTTCTTTGAGATTTGTTTTCTTCTTTTCTTCTTGCTTATCCATGTTATTTCTTTCACACTATTCTGTAATGTGCGTTATTTGAATTTTGGTGCGAATGACGTCATTATGATGTAATGGGATGTCATTTCATGCACCCGGCCTGATGTGCATATATACTTGTGTGTTCACAGATGTATTTTGTCACTGGGATCTTTGATATTGGATCTTTTTGTGTGTGCCGGTGAATCCCTGTGATTACGTCTTGTGCGTGCCGGTGAATCCCTGTGATTACGTCTTGTGCGTGCCGGTGAATCCCTGTCATTGCGTGTTGAATCCCTGTGATTGCGTCTTGTGCGTGCCGGTTGAATCCCTGTGATTACGTCTTGTGCGCGCCGGTGAATCCCTTTGAATCCCTGTGATTACGTCTTGTGCGTGCCGGTGAATCCCTGTGATGACGTCTTGTGCGTGCCGGTGAATCCCTTTGAATCCTTGTGATTACGTCTTGTGTGTGCCGGTGAATCCCTGTGATTGCGTCTTGTGCGTGCCGGTGAATCCCTGTGATTGCGTCTTGTGCGTGCCGGTGAATCCCTGTGATTACGTCTTGTGCGTGCTGGTGAATCCCTGTGATTACGTCTTGTGCGTAATCACGTAATCATTGCGTCTTGTGCGCGCCGGTTGAATCCCTGTGATTACGTCTTGTGCGTGCCGTTGAATCCCTGTGATTACGTCTTGTGCGTGCCGGTGAATCCCTGGGATTACTTCAAGTTTTTGCATGGCGCCATCCGTGCGATCACCTTGAGCACCACCGATACTTTTAAGTTGTAAGAGCGTATGTAGTGCAGGTGGCATTTGGAAACAAGTAGAAGGGAAGAGGTGTTCAGAGGTGTTCAGAGGTGTTCAGAGGTGTTCAGAGGTGTTCAGAGGTGTTCAGAGGTGTTCAGAGGTGTTCAGAGGTGTTCAGAGGTGTTCAGAGGTGTTCAGAGGGGTTCAGAGGTGTTCAGAGGTGTTCAGAGGTGTTCAGAGGTGGCCGGCAGTTATATAAGCAGATGAAGATTCCATTCGTCACTTTTTAAGTAACAAACATTCCCACAAACACGTTTGCACTTTCACACGGGTCCTTGCGGCGTCGTGGCTTGTTATAAAACTAATCATTTCCTTTCATCTGTGTTGCATAATGCACATTACAGCATATTTGTTGCTGCCGTGACTATAATGACATGTAAAATATGTTGTTCCCATCACTAGAATCTTCTCGAAGTCCTAACATGTTAATGTTCTTTTTGTCCTGTTCAGTGCTAGTGTGAACAGTAGTAGCATGGCAGTAGAAAGGAGCAAACATTTCAAAGTGTTCATGTGTACCCGGCAGTTATAAAAGGCGCCAAAGTTTTCATTGATGGTGTCATAAAGTTGATCCTGCCATGAGGGTTCTTGTTCAGCACTAGTTGTGCTCCTGCGTTGTCACCCTGTCTCATGGCCATTTAAACACGCATTACCTGGGCACGGTTCAGTGGTTGTTATAAGTCGTGAAACCCACCCTGAGAAATGCCATACAACCAGCGATGGAGTGCATGTGGACAGGAAGTGGCTGCAGGAGATTAGAATTGATGAAACTAAGCCCCTTTCGGACGGATGGTGTGATCAGGTCTGCCTTTCAGTTTTTTGGCTGGATCTGATCGGAAGCCCAATGTTAGTCTATGGGCAGTAGGATCTAAATGGATGTGCACCCATTTTGCATCTGATTGCCCCCGACTCAGTCTACGTTCGGAAAACGATACAGATACAGAGTTCAGTTTTGGCAGACCTCATCGTGGCCAATCGGGGGTAATCTGATGTAAACAGACCCATGTCCACTTACACCCGACTCCACATAGACCGCCATGGGGTCCGGTTAGTTTCAGTTTTTTACATGTCCTTTAGGTGGACTGACCCTTTAAGGACTGAGTGACGTGTGTGCAGTAGGGGCCCTTTGTATTGGGGATATCTATCCGGGAGAGTGATGGGCACCCAGGTCAGAGTCCTTTAGGTGGACTGACCCTTTAAGGACTGAGTGACGTGTGTGCAGTAGGGGCCCTTTGTATTGGGGATATCTATCCGGGAGAGTGATGGGCACCCAGGTCAGAGTCCTTTAGGTGGACTGAGTGACGTGTTTGCAGTAGGGGCCCTTTGTATTGGGGATATCTATCTGGGAGAGTGATGGGCACCCAGGTCAGAGTATGTTTTGGAATTGGGTAATTGTCCTCACATGTCCCTCGACGACACGTTGTATCCACTACTGGAAATGTTGCCGGCATTTCATGTTGTCAGGTTGGGGCATCGGATTCCCCGCCCTTCACTTATTGAATTTTTACTGCTCCATTCACAGACACAGGCGCGCTTTGTGAGGCTCAATGAGAGGCATTTTGTAGCCGGTCACAAGCTCAGTCATGTGCCTCTGCACCATGAGTCTTGTGAAGAGTGTATTTCTATCATTTCCTGTGACCTGCACGATGCTCTGCTTTTATGGGGGAACTCCGCTGGGGGAGAAATCTGTCACAGAGCAAAATACCCGTGAGAGAAGCTATAGATGGAAGCTGCTGTTCCTGAAGCCTAATTGGCCAAATGATATTTGAAAGGTATCTATGTATTACAGATATTTATATAGCTCATATTACTCATTCACATCAGTCCGTGCCCCCAAGAAGCTTACAATATAAAGTCCCAATCTGGCATACGTACACACAGGGCCAATTTACAGGAGCATGAACCTACCCGCATGTCTTTGGTGTGTGGGAGGAAACCCACACATGCAGAGACTGACCTGGCAGGGATTTGAACTGAGGACCCACCGGTGCTGCAAGGCAGGAGTGTTAGCCGCTGAGCCACTAAGCAAAGCTAAATATGTAAGCCCCACAGCAGGATTAGGCAACATTGGCACTCCAGCTGTTGTGGAACTACAAGTCCCATGACGCATTGCAAGACTTTTACAGGGATGGCTCCCAGAGGCGAAGGCATGATGGGATTTGTAGTTTCCTCACAGCTGGTTTGCTGAGGTAGCCCACCCCTGCTCTACAGCCTTGCAAGTAGCACAGCACCTCCGTGTCAGAAAAGGGCAGCTTCTGGCAGAGCTTTCTCACGCAGGTACTTTCTGATTCTCTTTAGGCAATGTTGCAGTTTTTTTATTTCTCACTCTGTGTCTGTGATGTTTATATTGTCTTTTAGTCTATTATCATGCCAACGTATATATAAATAGTCGCTGCACAGCATGCATCAAAATGACATATATGAGAAATTGAACTTTCTAGGTCTGTGTTTTCCACCCAGAGCCGGCCGGGGTCCCCGTCTGTGTTCTCAGTTCCCTGCCGTCAGCGCCGCCGTGCTCGTTTTTCACATGATGCCAAAAGGAGACGCGTTGTTATTGTTTCCATTAAAATAACCAACCACGTTTTACGAAGGCTCCATTCACATATAGCTTTTGCGCTGCCTGCGCGGTTTTCTGTGCGGAAGACCGCACAGGACGCAAGCGCTATATGGGATACAACTGCGTGGATTCCACCCGCTTGTGGCCATTATATAGCTGCGAACGTGCGGGATTCGCCAGATTATCACAAGTACCCCTTACTCATTCACAAGGGGGGGCTGCATCTGGGTGCCCCTTTATTAAAGGCGTACCCTGATGTGAATAAGCCCCCTGCCCGCACCCCCACAACCAACACCCCAGGGCTTGTGGGGAAGAGGCCCTTGTCCCCATCGGCACGGGGCCAAGGTGCTTTTCCAGGGGCGAATCCACCAAATTATCGCTGCCACACGTGCCCTCCTCGGGACCTCTCTGCCACACACACGTGCCCTCCTCGGGACCTCTCTGCCACACACACGTGCCCTCCTCGGGACGCCTCTGCATAGGAAGTACAACATGGTGCAGCAGAGTGCACAGGAAGTACATGATGCAGCAGAGACACCATGTTGTCACCTCACTACAGGAAGTTGAAAGTTCACTTGAGTTCTGGCAGCATCAACCAAACTTTTTCTGAAACCACACCAGGGAAATGTGCATGCCTGCCAAAAGACTTTTGATACTGTTCAGCCAGTCTTGTTATTAAGAATAAGAAATAGATAATCCGCGCTTCTGGAAAGGAGACTAAAGTGGAAATGTATAATAAATTAAGACCTAAAGCCGCTCTAGAAAGAGGATAGAGGAATCCTATCAACAATCGAGAAAATATATATCAAAGCGCTAAAGGTGTAACTAATAAAAGACTTAATGTAACCAAGTGATAAAGTGAAATTTTAGGTATATTAAGAATGCATAGCCAGTGAGGGTGACACCACTGTTCAGAGCTTTGCTGCTTCCTGTGTCAACTTTGCCTGCTGACTGGACTGTGGTAGAGCACTGTCTGGTTGGATGGCTCTGTGGTGCTGCAGTGACCTTGGTTTGGAGAGTGGGAATAGACTAGGCCTACTGTGTCTGAAATGGACATCTCAGTCGCTGTGTCGCACTCGCACTGCATGTTTGTAGTTGCAGAACAGGAAAAGCAATTTTTTTTTGTTCTGCTGGTGTCAGCAGTCAAAGTGTTGAGCTTCTTCGTGGTATTTTGTTTCGATTTCAGCAAATGATCTTTGTTCTGGGGTGATAAGTGCAAAGAGGGATTGGTGAGTCTGTAACCCATTCGCTGTCATTCTGGTTACAACGGCACAATCTGCAATCTAGAGCATAGCAGTGGCTACAAAATTCTTATTGTTTTTACAAAAGTTCCGGTTTTCGGGATAAGTATCGGAGCATTTGGGCGAGTATGAGTACTGATACTAGTATTGGTATCGGTGCATCCCTAGTTTTTATGATACAGCATGCAAAATATGCCCATTTGTAAAAACGTAGCAATGGAAATGGCGATTCAGATGGCCTTTAATATCAGCCCCCCACCCCCTTTTCCCCCACCCCCTTTTCCAAAACTAGAGAATACACACTAAATAAGTTCTTATCTTGGTTCACATAAACACGTATGTCATTTGTAGGGATAGACTGAAACCGAAATCTACAAATTTGTCAAACGAAAATGACTAACTTCAGGGGAAATATTAGGCTCTAAACAGACCCCTGACATTTCCCTTAGAAAAAGAGATTGAGGACACCGAGTCCTAAATCTTTTTCTGCAGCTCCAGCACTCCATGAACAGGAAGCTCTCAGTACAGAGGCTTCCTGTTTATTTACAATCTGGAGATAGTAAATATTTACTATGAACCCAATCGTGAATGGAGAGGGGGCCTCTGTACTGAGCTGCTTCCTGTTCATTCAGTAAATATTTACTATGTCCCCAATCATAAATAAACAGGAAGTGATGTATAAGCCTCCTGACAGCTTCTCTCCTCCTCGCTGGGCGCCGGCAGCTGAATCTGCTCTGTCGCCTCTGATCCCCGCTGCCTCTGACACAGGTGGGGGAGAGCAGTGGGGATCGGAGGGGACACAGACAAAAGCTTGCAGCCGGCACCCAGCAGGGAGGAGACAAGCTGGGGATGTATTGCCTTGTATGACTTGCCACTCCTACTAAGCTCTCATGAGCTGGGCCCTCCTAACAATATTGTACCAAAATTGTATTGGTACTCTCAGCCCCATTTTGTAAAGGGCTGTGCACTGTTGGCGCTATATAAATCCTGTATTATAATAATGATTATTATTATATTCAGTCGTTTTGTACTTTTGACATTTTGCCCAAAGTACCATTTTCAGCTGAAATGATTTAGCGGCTGAAGTTTTGGTGCATCCCTAGTAATTTGGGTCTGGCAGTGTTCATTAATTTCCCATTGCCGGGTCTGTTTTGAAAGGTTTAAAGTGCTGACTATCTCTGTTCTGCACCTTCCTTGTGTCACTTTTTAGCTTTTTGAGAAGTTTGGGCTTCCTGTTAAGTTTTGTGGTTTGAGTAGAAATTCCAAACTGACACAGCAACCCAATAATGTTCATTGACAGCATTCAACCATATTCAAATGGTGATCTTTATATTGTGCTGTGTGTATGTGCGGTTAATGGGTCTACTTAGAAAATGCTGCACGCTCTTTAATAATGTGAAACACCCACAATGCTCTTGGTGGGCCGTGACTGTCACTGGTGGTCACAATGTGTGTATGTATACATTTATATTTGCTAACTTCAACACCTTCCCAGGTCCCTAAACACTCCATCTGCAGAGTGACTGGTCTTGTCTCCGCCTCCTTTTGTAGTTTTCGGCAGGTGGCCTGTAGTGGGTGGAGCTTGCTGGGTCCCTCCCACATCTCTGCTCTCTATATAGCAGGGGTGGGCAACTCTAGCCCTCCAGGTGTTGTGGAACTACAAGTCCCATAAGGAATCGCAAGACTGACACAGTTAATGGCATGATTCCCAGAGACAGAGGCACATTGGGATTTGTAGTTAAAGCACAGCTTGAGGACCGGAGTTGCCCCACCTTGCTGTATGTGCAGCACAGTGATGGTGTCACTGCTACTTTTACAAGTAAATATCTGGGCTGGCCAAGGCATTTGGTGCACACAAAGTGGGTTTATATCCTTTGTGGCTATTGAGCAATATAAATGAAAGTTTTCTCGCCTGGAGTTCAGTTTTGAGCTGATCACATTTCTTCCTGCATGCAGTTCATTGTGCTTTTCTCATGTTTTTTGTAGGGCTGTTGGAGGTCTCGATGGGAAGATTTACAGAAGTGCAACTGAATCGCTCTACTCCCACCGAATTCCTCCTTCAGAACATTCCGGCAAACGTCTCCTTTATCATCTTCCAAGTGCACAGTCAGTATGTGAACGTGACGCTCTCCTCCGACAAGGTATGGATGTGGCTGTGATCCAGTTTTTTGTAGAATCTCACCAATTTAATGAGCAATCCTCCACTTGGTCTAATCTGTCTATAATTCTTGTCATCAGATCCCAAATAGAAATGACTCTGAGATCAGCAGCGATGCCGGACTTCTGAACATTCTCCGCCTGCAGCAGACTGTATGTACGTGGTATGTGGAGACGGCGTACCCCAATCCTGTGCTGGTTTCAGCTCTCACCATCCCGTACACTGAGAGGGGTGAGTGTTCTACCATGGGTGGAAATAACTACTGCACTGTACCTCTCCCTGACACATGGTAACCAATGCCTAGCACACACTCTCCAGTATTCCCAAGGCATGCTGCAACAGACAGGCAATGTAGATTTAGTGAGAGTCAGTCTGATGGGATCTTAGCCGTAGGGCAACAGTCATTGCGTCAGGAACTTGGTGCAAAAAGCTGTCCGTGCAGAACTGGCACAGAAAGCTCTAGCTGGATGTGGTAAGTCTGTTTTGCTTAAATACTGATAAGCTGAGTTGAGTCACATGCCTGCTCATGATCTCTCCTTGGTATCAAATGATTAAAGCCGATCTCTGGGTAAACCACAAAATTCCCCTTTTAGTGGGGCTGCCCCCACACTGCAAGGGTTAAATGCTCCTTTAGGCCTAGGGTACCTGGGTAAAGCAGGTTTACTCACCTGATTGCCCCTATGCTCAGGCCTGTGGACTGTCCCATGACTTACTCAAATGTAATACAGGGCTATGGGTCCTGCCTTGTGCTTGATGACGTACGCAGATCTCTGACCACCAGAGTGTACGGGGTGAGAAGAGCCTGCGAATTGGGGGGGGACCCATAGGAGATAAGATCAGGTGAGTAAAAATCCTTTTTCCAGGTACCCTAGACCTAAACGAGCATATAAGCCATGCAGTGTGGGGAAGCCCTGGGGACTGGATTGCCATGCTGTATGTGTGTTTTATGGCAACACAATGCTTGGTAGCACACACAAAGGTGCCCCCATACGATCCTTCAAGGGAAAGTAGCCACTGTAAAACATGATACCAGGGCTCAGGGGACCAGCTGATTCTGCAGGAAACTAACTTTTAAATATCAAGAAGCTGCATCCATCATGAGTGATTTCATCAGCATTTGAAATAGCTTAAACCTTTTTGACTTGAATATCACTTTAAGCATCTCCTCCAGAACTTTTAGTAACTTGGTATAGGGTGATGCAATCATTTGGCCTTGTCATTGCTGCGGCAGTACTGGGAGATAAACAACGAGAGAATCCATCCATGAGAGAGTCACCCTTTCCGTGCAGCCTTGTGGGACATGTAGAGACACAAACTATTGCAGGGAGATCTCACTAATAAAGTTTATAGGAGCTGGAAGACTCTGTCACGTGATCTGTCCCATCCAGATCTTAGAACCAGACTCCATCTTGGGAGTTCTGCCATTGTATTAAACACATTTTTGGGTTGAGTCTTCCTTATCAGTGTAATCATTTACTGTTTTCCAGATCCGATTCCTGGAGCGTGTAACCTGGAGTTTGACTTGGACATCGATCCGAACATCTATCTGCAGTACAACTTGTATGAAACTACAATAGAATTCGCCCCGGCCAATCTGGGCCATGCAAGGTAGGAATGATTTTACTGGAGTTTACTGGATTTATTTTGTCCAGCCAAATGGAATGCATTTCCCACTTATATCACGTCTGGGTTCCCTGACAGGCATTGCTGTCTTCCACAAGCAATCCCATTCTCTGTGGGGAGCATTCAGTTGACCCTGGAACATATTGGAGGCGTTTTGCTGCTTCTCATGATGATGTAAAAGATACAAACCAAACAAATACTAGAGTAAAGGGGTTTCTCCTGGCCACCAATCATAATGAAATGTGAAGTTTGAATGTGATTGGTGATGCAGGAAGCAGAGATAAAGTAAGTTTGCACAGCACAAGCTTCAGAAAGCACATTCCTACTAAACCTTTGTGGAGCTGTGTGTGCTTGTGGATGCAGCGAGTTACAAAGAACCTGGATTATATCTGCATCTAAACCCAAGAGCAAAAACAGTCATATACAGTAGGTCATGTATTGCAGCTTACCAGTCCTTAGATGTGGTGCTTGTTATCTATCTTTCAGGGTTTTTTTTTTTTTCTTTTTCACCTGGTGATTCTACCAGTAACACACTTCCTGTCCAAGGTGACAACTCAGTATTGACAACTGCAGTATTTGATAGATAACATGAGAAGCTTAGGACTATCGCCTAGCAACCACGGAAAATGTAGATTTGGATGGAACTAGCTGTATGTTTTGTTGATGTGCGGACATGTAAGTCTTCCCTTTTCTTTAGGGATGCCACGGCTGGGGATTGTGACACTCAAATGGGTCAGAACACCAGATGGCGCCTGCAGTATGATGTCTACCAATACTTCCTACCCGAGAACAACCTCAATGAGTCCACCTTAATAGCCCATCTGCAGAGAATGTCCACCATATCCCAGGTTTCCGCTAATGGCAAGAAGGTAACTGCTGGTTAAGCACTGTAGCTATTGTGTTGCTGAGGTCCTGTGCCTAGGTGTATCAAAACTTAAGAAAAAACAAATGTAATATATTTCAGCTTGCAGTCCTTGTGGTGGCTGCTTTTAGTTTTCTGTTTGTTCTTTTTTTTTTTGTTATCCTGCTAGTAGCACACTTCCTCCCCAATGGTGACACACTCACTCGTCACACTGAATCTATGGAGTAGTAGTGTTGTCACCGCAGCCTACGCTCTTAATTTACAGTAAAAGCACCTACCCCTCTCTTTATTGCTGCAACATGGAAGTAATTGGTTCTGTAGTCGACAGAGATAGCTGGGACAATCTGACTAATAGGAATGCAGCACAGGCAGAGAGCACAGGATGCTGGCAAGATTTCTGGAAGGAGCATCAGGAATTTTTTATTTATTTTTTGCACTTACTGAACAGATAAAACAAAACACATTTAACTGTATATATAACAGACCCAAGAGTGCAGATAAGAGATGTTCATTGTTGGGGTTCACATACTCTTTAAAGAGGAACTTTACCCATATCTTTGAAATTACAACAAAGACACCTTTAGAAATGTTTAGTTATGACAATCTACAAAAACATATAATTCTAGATAATTGCCGTGTTTTTTTTTGCATACCTTATTTTTCTTTTACTCCCCATTTTTCTCCCAGTGACCATTTTTACTGAGGGCAGATTAATATATCTCCCTTTACTTCCTGGAACTCTGGCACATGTGACTAGGACATGTGACCAGGCACATCATCTCAGGAGAGAAAAATGCCTTTCCCTGAGATCTCCTGAGATTTCCCAGCAATACCGATGTAACCTTCCCGGGAGGCAACACTTGGGTACATTACATCATGAATACCCAAGAGGACCAGGAAATGGAAAAACAATAATTGTAAATAAACTAAAAATTAACTAATGAGTGTAAGATGATTTCATATCAGCACGAAGAGCTGATTTCTGCCAGTCTTTCTGTTTTCTCTAGGAAAGTGCCTGGACTGACCCTTTTAAAATGACCATAAGTGCTGGATAGTAAGTAATGGTATTATCTAATAAAATCTTGTCATTTTGACAGCTGGCTACCCTAACATCCAATGACCGGACCACCATGTCCTTCTCATCTATTCCTGGTCAAGGAGTCGTATACAATGTGATTGTACGAGATCCTCTCCTGTACACGTCTGCAGCCTATGTGCCCGTTCACACGTATGCCTGTAACTTCACAGCAACTATGGACAACTGCCACACACTGGGTGGGTATGGACATTTTATTGCTCAGCTGGTATATGTACACCAGGGACTGCTTGTCAGTGCTCAAGGGGTTCCATCACATGTCCGTATGATCAGCTGTTTAAAAAAAAAAATAAGATTTAGGACCCATTCACACTAGAGCATACTCTTTATGGTTCTTAAAATGTACGTGCATTGTGTGCGTTGTGTAGGGATGGTGCAATGCATTATTACAACGCTTCGTACAGTTTACATTTTCCCCTTTTTTTAGATCTTGAAATGTCACAAAATGACACTTCAGCTCTATGTACAAAGCGTGTGACAGCTTGCAGAGTTGTGTTAACACACATTTGTGTGTGCTGTGCCCCGTCAAAACGCAGATGTTTTCAACACGCACCACCTACACGTGTGTTGCAAAAAGGGCACATGGACAACAATTGTTTTCTATGTGTTCTTGCATTGAGCCTACATTCATCAATGAAGCTCAATGCACCTGGTGTACATGAGCCCTTTTTCCAGCGAAAGGCGTTTTTCTGCTCGCAACAAAACACTCAGGTGTGAACTGGGCCATAGAAAGGAATGGGGTTCCTTGTCTTGAGCATTTTCTTGCACTTTGCTTTGAGCGACAAAACGCCTGGGTGTGAATGGAGACTTAATGTGTACTAGGGATGTACCGATACTAGTATCGATGCCGAGTATTTGGGCGAGTACTCGTACTCGCCCAAATGCTCCGATGCCTAGCCCGATACTTCCATTATCAGGAAGCTGGGCAGCGCGTCATTACACAGCGCCTGACTTCCTGATTGGCCAGAAAGCTGGCTCCATGCTTTCTCGTCACCTAGTGACGAGAAGCATGGGGACGGCTTCCCTGCTAATCAGGAAGCCGGGTGGCGAGTCTTTATAGGCTGCCTGGCTTCCTGAATGGGACTTCCTGTACTTGGTATTCGGTATCGGCGAGTTCCCGGAAAAAAAAATACCGGTACTCGATACCGGTATCGGTGCATCCCTACTGTTTACCAAAACCGCAAACTGGATTTGTTATTTAAAAGTGAAAGTCTTGGTAATCATGGATGTTCACATTGGGTGTTTAAAGCTGCCCAATAGCCCATCGAACATGAAGACATATCGTTCACTCTGTCATGAATGGCAAAATACTAGCAATCATTTACTAGACAAAACCCTTTGACTAAAAATGGAACCTGGGACTATTGAAGGGAGACCCCATATCGAGGAAGCCAGTGGGAAAATGAGCCTCCCACCACAATACCTTGATTAATGATTATTAATGTATTCATACTGGTGTACATAGCCACTGGCTTTGTAATCTGTAAGTTCAGTAGTGTCAGCATTTGATCTGCCAGACACATTTGGCGCCCTTTTTGTGGTTTTACTGTTAACTAGTTTTTCAACTTTGTATCTTATTTTTAATTTTTTCAGGGAGCGTTTTAACAAAAATTTTCTTCACCATCTTTGCCTTCCTGGGCCTCTTCGTCTGTTTTGTCGGGCACCGTTTTCTCAAGACAGGTGAGTGCCCAGGGCCTGAGTGTCAAGTTAGCTAATGGGCTGAATGACAACTTAATAGCGACACACTGATTTGTTTTTGTTTTCCTAGGTTTTTTCTTTATTGGTTTTATCATCTTTGGGTTCCTCATGTTTGTTCTGCTCACCAGAGTCACACCCCTTAATTACAGTGGTAAGTTTTTTGTTCCCAGAAGCATACTCTCCGTTTTCATTTGTACTTCTTTGCGGACATTGTCAGTTGCAGCAGTTGAAAATATAGGCAACTCTGGGACTGGGTCATGTTATTTTACTTGCGAAAGTAACGTGGTGATGATTATTGTTTATGTATTTGGCAGATCGCCTGGCCTTGACGGCCTTCACTGGAGTTATTGGGGGTCTACTGCTGGTGGGGTATTGGTGGAGATTCGGTTTCGTCTACATCTGTATACTTCTGGTGGGGCTGGTTTTGGGATTTCTGGTTTCGTCAATTGTCTTCTTCACTCCTATAGGTACAGTATGGTATCACTGTGTAAAGTGACGTGGTGCATTGTAGGCTACTTCTGTTCCTGAGAAAGTCCTTGGGCTAGTATGAGAGGAGGTTTAAAAGTTTAGTTGTGGCTTTTTCAGTTCCCATTTTAATGCGTGCATATCCAGTGTGACCGTAAAGACAACCATCGTTTTCATGGTGAGCAGACTTAGAAGTAAGAGCTGTACATGTGGTCAGTTTAGAAAGTCGGAGAGAGATTTAGTATTCAGTTTCATGACCTTTCAGGATTTGAACTTTGCTTTTATAAACTGAGTCTGATTCCAAGCAGCAAAACATGCACCCAAATTAAAAAAAGGGGCACAAATGTTACATTTGGAGACACTGTCATCACAGCCACGTTTTTCAGCTGAATACTGCTACCAAGTTCGGTTACTCGCCCAAATACTGTTAATGGTATCGGTGAATCCCTAGTATTTGCAGATAGACAGGTGCACATTTGAAATCTGTAAACCATCTGCAGTGTACAGCCAGCATGTAAAATACCGCACATATGCAGGATCAGCAATGTGATTACTGTGGCTGCAGGGCACCACAGGTGTCCCAAACAAGATGGTGGCCCGCTGCAGAAATTTAAAAGCATGGTTGGGACCTTTCCAGTGGTATTGATAAAACCGATAACACAAGGGTTGAAAGAAAAAAAAGATAAAAACTTTTTTCCTTTTTTTTAAAAATGTTATTTACATAGTTAGTCAGGTTGAAAAAAGACAAGTCTTAGTTCAAAGAATTTTTATTGAGTTTTCAATAGTGAAACAATGAAACAGATAAAGTCAATGTATAAAACAGAGGTTGCATGCATGCCAAACTAACACAACCACAAAATATAATAATTACAGAACTGCCTGGAAACATCGAAAGAGGTCAGAATGGCCACTTAGTAAATGCATACAGCAATCCAATCAGCTTCAGCGGCCTCTAAGCAAAGAAGTGGTAGAGAGTAGGAGAAGAGGGGGATAAGACTGAGAGAGGGTCGATCTTTGGGTCACTGAGTCTGTCTGTTGGAACAGTTTAGGGTCAGGCTGAAGGTAAAGTGGAATTCAGAGGTCCAAAAGACATGTGAAAGGATGGTGGTTGGAAATAACGAACCCAATGATCCCAAACTTTACAAAATCTCACCATACTAGCAGTCAGACATGCTGTGAGTGTCCCATTAACAAATGCATGGTTCCATCTTGTCTTCACCTTGGCAAAAGAAAGTGAGTCAGTCAACTTTATTCATCTGCTATTGTTTGTTTGGCTGCTGTGAAAACATCCAATTAGAGTTTTTAGTCTTGCTTTTTGTGTAGCACTGTGGTCAGATAATTGACGAGTGCCTCCACATGGTTCAAAGGTACAGTAGATCCCAATAAAGTCAGACAGAAACTCTTCAAAAGATAACTTTTCCTTTTGTACCATTATCCTTTTAAATTTTAAACTGTTTATTCCTAAAACTGTATTGAGAACCCCGGGACACAACAAGAGGTTAGAATTCGTAGGGAGTATTTCGCTGTGAAAGTTTAGAATTCCCTCCCACAGGTGGTGATATCTGCTGATAACATTAATACATTCAAGAAACTTCTGGATGAGTTTCTTCTCCCACAGAATCTACAGGGCTATGGGAAGTGTCAGAGCCAGATAAACACACGCACACGCACGCACACTCGCATACATAGGTTGGACTGGATGGACCTTGGTCTTTATTCAATCTTACAAACTATGTAACTATGTATATGTAGAGAAGTCTGGAATAAACAAAAGTTGGCATTCATTCCAGACAACAAATCCAACAATTGGATCTTTTTGCAGTTCCGAGTCAACTTGAAAGCTGGATGCTTTCTCACAGTTCTTTTGACTTTTTTATTTCTTGTTTGTAGGAATGGAAAATGTAAATTCTACTTCTTCATATTCTGTATGTCCCCTCATCATCCTCATACAAAGATACCAGCAGAGAACATAACAATTCTGTCTAGCCCACACTATCAAATCTTATTATTGTGGAAAACATGGTGGTTTCCAGTGATTTTTCTTTTTCATTATTTATCTTAATACTTTGGTTAATTGTGTGTCATCTGAGCTCTTTGTTCTCTCTCACAGGGGATTTTACCACTTTCCGCAATGACACCGTGTTCTGGCTTACCTTCACTTGTATTGCACTGCTGGTGTCAATGGTTCTGCTTCCTTTCCCGCGAACCGTAAGTATTTGGCATCTTACTTAGGGATTTTTTAAAACTTTTTTTTTTAACTTCTTTTTTTTTGTTTGTTCCTAAAACACTTTTGGTATGCTTAGGACATTGTGTAAGGTACTAGCACCCAGCTTGTGGCATTTACTGTGTGGCCCCTAAAACAGTAGTCTGTGTTTTTCCTTTCCTAGATGCTTAATTTCTTGCTTTCTTTAAAATCTTTTTTTTTTTCTGTGCTGTCCATTCCTTATATCGTGTTTATGTTTTGTCTTCCCCACTGATCTTTTATGAAGGATCTTGTTGAGGAAAATATCATATGTGGCACAAGAAATGTATAAGTGGACTGGATTGGAGCACACATGTGGAAGCATGCCTTGAATATCCAGTGGCTTGGGCCACCTCTTGTAGCATGGCTGCGGCCTCAGTCCACCTCTTGTAGCATTACATTTACTGAATGTGATATTGCAGCTCTTTTGGTGTGTGTGTTTTACATACCGTTTCCCCAAAAATAAGACCTACCCCGAAAGTAAGACCTAGCACTATATTTCAAGATTCCTGTAATATAAGACCTACCCCGAAATAAGACCTAGTTTGGTGGTAGCATGTGAGGGGGAACTTGAAGAGCAGGAGAGATGGTATCAGCCTGCAGGGACAAACTGTATTAAGGGGATGACGGGGGACTCCCTCCGGCCAGCGCAGTGACAGGGAGCACTCCAGTACCATACTTCACCAACTGCTGTCCCCCTGAAGGCACTGCTTAATGTAATGGTACTGTACTGTATTGTGTACTAGTAAATGGTACCGTACTTTACCGCGCTGTCCACTGTCTGATGTCCCCTCTGCTGAACCGCTGGTACCACTGTCCCTGATGGCAAAGCATACCAGAGCTGTAGAAAGCAAGGCTGCGGCGGTGGAGGGAGCAGAGCCGCATTAGCAGATACTTAATCTATAGCGCCGGTTACTGTGACAGGTGGAGTGATTCCAGATAACTTTAGATTGTTGTACATTTTGTTGCACAGTAAAAAAAAAAAAAAAGACATCCCCTGAAAATAAGACCTAGCGTGTTTTTTTTGGACACCCCTCTGAGTGCTGCCCACCTAGGATAATGCTTACCTCTCCCTGAACTGGCAATCTTTATTCCAGGGTGGTTTCTCTTCAGACTGTTCCTGTATGCCGTGACCCCTTTTATTCCGTTGGACAGGTTGTACTCATGGCAGCCTCTAGTGGTCCTTTAGAGTACAGCACTAAGGACTGAATGGAGTTGTTGCGCATGCCCACTATGGAAAGGAGCTAGCTGGGACCATGTTGAAGGAAAGATTGCTGGATCGAGGAGAGGTAAGTATTGTCCAAAGTGAGCTGCACTCAGGAGGGAGAAGAGGCGATTTATTAAACAACAACTCTACTAAAGTGGAAGTTGTATTTTGAGTTTTGACTGCAGCAGAGAGAAATCCTTTCACTAGGCTGGAGTGCTAGGGCTGTATTTGCATGCATGATATAGATTGATTGGGGGATGGATAGAGGGATTGATTGCTGGAGAGATCGAGAAATTGCTTGATAGATATGCATAGAGGTACCAGCACATAATCACATGTAAATGCCTTGGTGGTCCACACAGTGAAAGTTAACAACAATAGGTACAGGATTTCCCATGGAGGATGATGAAGAAAAGATATTTGCTTTATTACACTGACGTTCTCGGCAAGTCGCGCTCCGAAACATTGTAATAAAGCAACTACCTTTCCGTCACCATTCTCCATTGAAAGTCCTTTTGAGTGCCTCTTGTACCTATATATGTGCTCTCTTTGCTGTTAATCGGCCAATGATTTTCCTAGAAATAACATGGTATAAACTGTGTGAACATCCTGTTTGCTGTGTGATTTCAGACTAACTGGCTTTACTTTCCCTTTCCCTTTAGCTGAATATTTTGTCCTGCAGCATTGTTGGCTCCTACGCAGTTGTGCTGGCTATAGACAGTTACCTGTACACAAGTCTCAGCTACATTACTTTAAACATCCTCAAGCGGGCGCTGAACAGTGAATTCAGTACAGTGTACACCAGCGTGCCTTTCCAGACTAATGGTAAGAGCGACAGGAACCTTCACATAATGGAATCTGTAGACAATGTAAAGTTTTAGTTTTACATCCATACTGTATATGATCAGCTTGAAGTGGAATTCCAGGCCAGTGGAAGTATTAAAGTCTCTGTCAGGTGTTGATTGCGGCCTGTGTTTCCACGGGAGATATTTCCATTTACATCCTGATCATACTGCAGCCTTCACTTCAGTCTTGTATAGTCTTAAAGGCTCCTCTCCTTGATTGAGGCTTACTCTGATTTCACTTCTCATAGTGTGCATTAAATGCCGCAGCAAGTCAGATGGAGCCCACCCTGCTAACCTCTTCCCACCGGCCATGATCTGCCTGCATCGGATAGAACAGCAGAGAGGCCCAGTGATGACATCATTGGGTCTAAAATAAATTATGTAATGAAAACAGAAAGGGAGGGAAAGGAAGAACCAGGCAAGGCCAAATGTAAGCAGATTAAACTTCAGCTTTAAAAGAACTATGGGGGTAAACTTTTTATCCCATAGTTCCCTTAAGGGTCACAGGAGAACATATTCTAACGTCCTCCCGTGACCCAAAGTATAAAGCGAGCTATTGCTCACTATATACCGAGATCGCCGCAGCCGAGACGGATCCCGACAATGCTGTTGAGATCCACCCAGCTGGCTGATTGACAGCTGGCTCTACCTATCTAGAGGCAGAGCCAGCTGTGCCCGCCCCCTCCCCGTCCGTTCGTCCAGTCAGAGGGGAGGGGGGAATCCCTGCTGGGAGCGGTGACAGACGTTCACGCCTCACTGCAGGGAGATGATCGGAAAGTGAATGAGCGACGGTATGCGATCGCTCACTTCCTAAACTATAGAGCCGACGTGTGACAGTCTCATTGTCACTGGTCGGCTCGAACTATGAGGTTGAGTGAAAATCACTCAGCTCATAGTTCTCCTTTAGTTATTAGGCCCATTGTTAGGTATGGGATTTGTGTAATGTGAATATTGATAATTATGAAGTTTCGGGTTGTGGTTCACAGACATAACATGCTGTTTCTTCCAACAGATTTCATCATTATCGCTTTGTGGGCAGTCCTTGCGCTTAGCGGAGCAGTGACCCAGTTTTACAGAGAGCGCGAACAGCCGCTTTTCCCGCCCACCCCGTATGTGATTTGGAAGAGGGACAGAGAGAGACGGATAACGAATATCCTGGATCCCATCTACCACACGCCACCACTGAAGGAACGCTTTCTGGCTAGCCTGGCTAGATTTAGGGATCTCTTCCGCAAGGAGCAGCCTCTGGGCGAGAGAACGCCGCTACTACTATAGCTAGTAGGAGGTGCCTAGCTGACCGCGAGAGACTTACAGGAAACATGTTCCTGGGTGGGGAACCATACCTATCTGGAGTTGAAGCTGGATAGGTGGAGTCCAGTACAGGAAACTGTCGCACAGCGCCATCTTCCGCCCACTTCCTGTCATGCATTTTGGACAAGACAATAAGGTTTACAGTATTGGGCCTGAACAGCAGAGGAAGACATGACCGGGTAGCTAGGCTGTGCCTTCTTTTCAGCAGCCTTTAATTACACGGCATCCAGAATCTCTCCGATTTTTCTTCGGCCCTAAAGGAAAGCTTTTTGTTGCCCCTTAGCGCTCAGATTCTCCTTTTCATTCTCCCATACTGCACTGGAAATATGAAAGGGAGAATCTGGTTTCCTTCCAGCGCTTTCACCTGAGACATCCCGAAAGTGAGGGGCTCACAGGGTCTTGTGATGCGAGGGTTTCCTTGTTAGGGACGCGGGTTCCAGAACACGGAGTGTGCTAAACCTTTATAAACGTTTCAGTGGAAGCAGCCATTTCTTAAATTACCGCCTAGTTCAAGGACAGTGAAGCGGAACCCGGAATGCAGGCTGAGTCTGAGAATTGCTGCTTCTCTTGGAGCCCTTGCACACAAGTGGTTTTATAGGGGACAGAGTCCCCCATAAAACCGGTGGCAATATAGGCCCAGGCGGCACCAGCAGTGAGCAGTACAGGTATTTTGACAAGAGTGTGGAATCTGAGGGCAAAGAAGGCGGCACATGCTCATTACAACAAGTGGGTTCATGTATCTGTGGCTAACGACGTGTCACAGTGGTTGACAAAACCTAAGTTTTGAGTGTTATTCTTACAGCATGCTGGGACTTGTAGTTCCCTAACTGTTAGAGATCCACGGTTTGCTGGCCTTCTTGCCATGGGCCCTTGAAGAGTGAATACAATGACCACCATTCATCATGTTGTTCCAAGGACTTCTGTTATGTGATGGCACTGTTTAGTACATGGCTACCTCTCTCCTCTGTCTGTATACCACTATAATGTCTCCGGAGAGACAAAATCTGAGAACACTGCCGCTGTGTCCACCATGCTGTCTTCTAATAACCACTCTCTCTTCTCTTTTTCATACACAGTATTCTTTTGTATAATACAGAGACATGCACTGGGAATTTATATACTTTCTGAACTACTTTTTTTTTCCCCCCCAAAATAAAATTATGTTTGCAGAAAAAGTGTGTTTTGTAGTCATCCCTTGTAGTGTTATCCCTCAGCCAGTCTTTGAATCTCCTCCATGTCCAGGCCTGTAAGGAACTACTGAGCTCAGTGCTATTCGCTTCTGCTGTGTTTGGCTCTGCACTGTGACAGCCTGCAGAGTTTGCTGGAAGAGGACAAGCTTTTCTTCTCAGTCTGTGGCTGCTTGCTAAAGAAATAAGAGAAAATTGCAAGACTTTGAACATAATCGGGTTTAAAAGTTCCCTTTTTAATAGCAAGCCCTTTGCTCTAGACCAGGGGTAGGCAAACGCCAGCCCTCCAGCTATGGTGCAACTACAAGCCCATGAAGTATTGCAAGACTTTGACAGCCACAGGCATGACTCCCAGGGGCTGATGCTTTTATGGGATTTGTAGTTTTACCACAGCTGGGGAGAGAGGCTGGAAGGACCGATCTAAGAACAAGCCGACTCTGCAGTTCGGGTGAGTAGTTTTTTTTTATTAGCACCTAGACAACAATGAGCCCCACTGCAAGGGTTAATAAGTTTTGCCAGGAGTTCTTTAAAATCTGCAGCCTAATAATAATACCTGGTGATTCTGTCATGACGATCCTTGTTCAGATTCTTTTATAAGGCGACAACTCTTCCTTCCTGTTTTCCAATTAAAAGAACTATGGGGTTCAGGCTTTTCCCCATAGTTCTCCTTGGGGTAACGGGAGGACACAAACTAGCGTCCTCCCGTCACCCTAGGCTCCGTATACCGCGAGCTGTAGCTTGCGGTATACTGAGACGCCGCAGTATACCGCGAGCTGCTGCTCACGGTATACTGATACGCTGAAGCGGATCCCGACAATTGTGCCTGGATCCGCCCAGCTGCGTGACTGACAGCTGGCTCTGCCTATCTAGAGGCAGAGCCAGCTGTACCCACCCCCCTCCCCCACCCGTCCCGCCAGTCAGCGCTGGCGGGGAGGGGGGAATCCAGCCCCTCCCCTGTCATGACAGGATTGAGAGGTGAGCGAGCGACGGTATGTGTTCGCTCACCTCCCGATCTACTGAGCCGATCTGTGACAGTCTCATTGTCACAGGTCGGCTAGAACTATGAGGCGAGTGAAAATCACTCACCTCATAGTTCTCCTTTAAGCTCATGCTTTGTCACTCTGGCTACAAGTAGCAGTTTCAACACACATGACACCGGCATAATGCACTGTTGTCACCATCAGGAAACCCACCCACAGAAATGTCATTCAGCCATCGCTAGAGCGCATGGAGATAGGAAGTGGCTGCACAAGATGCAACCAAGGATGGATGTTTAACAAAGAATAAATGTTTATTGAAAAAGAAATGACAAATCTTTATCATACGCGGCACACAGAGCAAATGACATGCGTTTGATTTTAGGGTTTGCATCTACTTTATTTTGATTTTAGGGTTTGCATCTGGGCACCTCCTTTGCACGCTCTCCATATATGACATAATAATTGTATAATCATTGCTTTGAAAGTCTTTATGAAACTTTTGTATGAACAGGAACTGTTTGTGGTCTGTTGGTTTTCCATTCTGTAAAGTGTCACATCTACTGCTGATCACACCCACTCAGGTGCTAACCCGCTCCTCCGTCTGTTTCCTCCCTGATAACGGTTTGTGTGACACTTGTTGGCGGTGGCGAGGAAGTTGGTTCTCCACCAGACAGTCCTCTGTTACAGCAATTGCCCAATTCGTGACACGTCCGACTTCATTAGGCCGCTAAAGGGTTTTCTTGTTTTGTTTTTTTTCCAAAAAATATTCCACCCTCATACTTCAGTGAGGGAGATGAAAGCAGTTCATCATTAGCTCAGTTGGTGGAAAAAGTAAACGCAGTGTGGACTGACAGTGCTCATAAAGTAAACCTGCATGTCTAAATTCTAAATGTCATCTATGATTTAATGTATTAATGCCATTTCAAAAGTTATAACCGGTTTTACCCAGTGTGCCTGCAATCAGGCCCTTCCTGTTATGGGGTTACAACTGTCTCCCAATTGTGCTCCTGCGTTGTCACCCTGCCATACATGCTCCTGGTGGGGACTACCTGCGGCCATGCCATTACATATTGTGCAGGCACTGTGGTCAGGAATCCGGTCCTGAGAGATGAGCAGCCCACATTACAGTGAGTGCATGTAGATGAGAAAGAAACATAAGGAAATGGTAGCACTGAGATAGAAAAAGATAAAACCAGTATTCTAAAAGAAAACTACACAATTATTTGATGCATATAATGGGGTCACAAGGGGGGTGCGGCCCCCTTGTGACCCCATAGAAAACCAGCTGCACTCCTTACCGGAACATTGGAAGCCCTGCAACAGCAGGTGGGTGCTTGTAGCGACCACGGACTGCACCGCGTATAGTACAAGAGTGTAAAGTAAATGTCACCAGCACACCAAAAGTATTTCAGCAAAAGTCAGTTTATTGACACATTGCCATTCAGTACAAGCGCTTTCGGGGCCTCAAGGGTACCCCTTCATGTGTCATTCTGAGCCTGATCAAGGGGTACCCTTGAGGCCCCCAAAGTGCTTGTACTGAATGGCAATGTGTCAATAAACTGACTTTTGCTGAAATACTTTTGGTGTGCTGGTGACATTTACTTTACACCAATGGTGACACCACCTCTGAAAAGTCATGCACTCAGTCATGGACCGAGAGCCCAACAGTTTCGGGAGAGAGGAGGGGACACGGCGACAGGCCTCATCCTGCCAGTTGACTGTCCCCTCCTTTCTCTGCCCGTGTCCATCACCAAGATGGCTGCCGGCAGGAATCAAGATCGCCGCACATGCTCGATGACGTCACGGCAGGGTGTCACCCGGTAAGCACTCCCTGGGTTACACCCGGCCTTGGTACGCCCCTGGATACATAGTAGCAAATTATGTGTGATCACTTGAGCCCTGATTCACACCGAGGCGTCAGCGTTTTCGCACATAGAAATGCTTCAATGTGCGTACAGTAAGTCGCACATTTTTATGAGCAGATTGTGACAGAGATGTAAATGGGCAAATCACGCAAAACCATTTGCAACGTGCATTTCCTATTGACTCTATGGGGACAAAACGAGCTGTAATCTGCCGAAAAGAAGCTCGTGTACTTTTTCCATTGACAAGCGTTTTGCTTATTGTGACAAAACCCTCAGGTGTGAACCGGGGCCGAAGGAATGAATGGGATTTTTTTTTTGTGATGCATTTTGTCCCGCTTATTCAGCTGCGCCAATACACTCAGTGTGAACCACGCCTCAGGCTTTAGATCTACTTCAAAGTTGACCTATAGAATTAAAGTTGTACCATTTGCGTTGAGGTCTGCTGCTACACCCACTGCAATAGTATGGGCATGTGTAGGTCTGCCCCTTTGGACTCTCAGTTGACACTGCTTGTGATGGGTGCTCCAAATGGCCAATTGGGAGTAAACTGATACCTGACATTGGCCCACAGAGAAGTTTGATGCCCTGGAATATCCCACAGGATTGCTTTGAAATCAGGCAAATCAGCCAAACTTTCCTTTGTCTGCCTAAACATTCCAGGTGCCTAATGGAGGTGTCCAGTTCCAGCTCAGAGCTCAATGCAATGGGTGACCCTTGTTCTTAGCCATTTGGCACATTGCAAAAGGCACTCAGCTCCCCCCATGCTGGAGGGTAATATGTACATATGACTTCCCCAGGGCCTTGGGCACCTAATGCTATTGGTAGGCACCCTTTTGATTTCCAACTCATTAGCCACCAATTGGACTTGATGCTTCCCCATCAAGACATGTGCCCCTGAGTGCCCAGGCCTCAGATCAGAAAATCACTGTTTAAGATTCTGCATAACATATGCAACAAATGTTTTCTCCTTATCCCCTCAGCCAGATAAGCTAGAGTCCATGTAGGTACATATCAATGACAAGTTTCCTATATAAAGAACCCCTCTTTCCTGCCATACACCTTTATTAGCGACCCAAGCTCCCCTATCAAAGCAGGAAGTCCACACCTGTGTCAGCTTCAGAGCTTACACCGGGTTAATGACACTATTCACTGGCTGGTGCTTGGGCCTGATCATTGACCATAAGGGACAGCATCCTGAGGAGGTCACATGCTCAAACACACTGAGAAAACTGCATATTTTTTAGGTGCATTTGACAGAGTGGTGGGGTAAAATAGCAAAAGTAAATAGGGGGCGGGGTTATTCTTTCAAGAGAACCTGCCACTTTGCCCAATAACATCTCTGATGTGGGGGACTTTTTAAAACATGGTTGTTGTCCTTTAATGCAAGCTTGAAATACTAACTGGGTTATTGCAGTAGGCTCCAACTGATGTGTTCGCTCACACTTAGTCCCCATTCACACCATCTCGTTCTGTGAATATGCAACAAACTCAGAAAAAAGCCCACAAAGTGCATTCAAAACGTGCAATGTGCTTGCAGTGCTATTACTAGTTCATAGCACCCCAAACACGGCTGGGAAAATGAGCAGTTTCCGTGTGTGTTAAACCGTGTGGGAAAAATGCGGAATGCTTATAGCAGGTATTGTTATATGAGCTACTTTTCCCGCATTTGGCACCCATAGAAATCAATGGGGACGTGCTTTCCTGCTTTACAATAGTGTGAATGGGGACTTATGCTTCTTCCCTGTGTGTGTGTGTGAGGCCGATGTTCTGATTGGCTTCCCCTTTCCTGAGTCGGTGAAGGGGCGGGCCTTGTACCTCCAGCCCGCCCTTTGTGAGCTCCTTGCTGTCTCTGCCAGAAGCTACAAAGCATCATGTGACAAGTGGATGTAGTACCATGGGAAGCTTTTAGAACCTTAGCATAAATGTAATAAAACCCAGAGTAGTGGTAATTCCAGTGAATTTCCATCTTCCAACTTTAGCAGCGTTGCAGTGCTTCCTGGATAGCTGATTACCAATGTTATTTGCTGGAATTGCTCTTCAGAAGGAAATTACTCGCTCAGGAAGACATAACCCATTGACGTGGATCATTCTGGTGCCTGGGCTGCGGGCTTATTCCAAAGGTGTCTGCCTATCCATCAAAAAATAAATAAAAATGAAATAACTGGCCAGACATAGTGAATCGGTAAACTGAAATGCGCAGATTGCACCGGGTTTATTTTACAATTAAAATAGTGGTATCTGAACACAATCACTGACAGGCGCACGACATGGTACAACACCGGAATGACACGTACACGTATAGTCCACAGAGACAATAAATTAAATACTCATGTATGTTTTTGGCTTGCAGGCTGGGAAGGGGGTGGGATGCAGAAAGAGGACAGCCATCTTTACAGGAGAGGGTCACTGAGGTGTCAGGCAGCTAATATGATTGGGGGAGAATATACATTGATGACATTTCTTGCCTGCAGACCACTCTGGCTAGTGGGAGAATCTTTTTAAAGCCCAATTTAAATCAGCGATACCGAGTGACACCCCGCAGTGACGTCACCACGTGCGTGTGCGGTCATCTGATTGATACCTGCCGGCGGCCATCTCGATGATGGATGCCGGCAGAGACAGAGGTTCCCCTCCTCTCTCCTGAAACTGTTGGGCTCTCAGTCTACGACCAAGTGCCTAACTTTTCAAAGGGGGTGACACCAAAATGACTGCCAGTCATTTTGCTGTCACCCGGGTGCGGGCCGCACCCCCCTTGTGACGCCACTGCCTTTAATCAGCACGGACTTGTTCCCCATGGCCCCAGGACTGGAGTGACCAAAGCGCCTCACACTGGGCAAGCAAGGTAACCACTAATATAAGTGCTGATGATGTCACAATATGGCTGCTTCTGCTGTACCTAACCACTATGTGAACCTTTAAAGGGGGGATTTCCATGGCTTTGGTTTACATCCCTGTGGATCCTTCCGTGTAATAATTTGGCCTTCTGTATAAGAAAAACAAAAAGAGCTTCACGGCCCTCAACTGTGAGTAGAGGAGACCCCTCCAGAAGCCGTACACACCCTGCATATATGTCAGCGTCCCCGTGTCACTTGCTGCATCTATAGTTTACTGATCATGCAATGTTACGAATCCTCACTTCCTCTTTCCTGGAGGCTTACTGTGGGAGCAAACGGCTACTGGCCACCTGCATATGGAGTTCTCACCTACTATACTGGAATGGCAGTCTATATGCTCAGTTGTGGTCTTCCCAGTCACTGGCTTATGTAGCACCAACAGTGACCTGCCATTCCTTATTCTGCCCACAGCACCCCCTGCTGGCTGATAACTGGAATTACAGCACTCAATGCTTTTTAGAAAAGGGAGGGGGCATAGGACAGGACTACAGGGCACCGCCTCCCTACTACATATAGGTAGGTGTGGTCCACAGGGGTTACTAAGACTGTAAAATGCACAGGAAGTTAGAAGCTCATTAGAATTCTGGCAAGATTAACACATATTTTCAGATATAAAAAAATGCTTTCAATGGTGTATTTAATAGACCTCAAGGGGGCAAAGAAGAGAAGTTCCTTGTTAGGGTTTCCATACACTTTATATGTACCATACAATAAAAGGAAACCAGTAGTGAGACACCTATGTGGACTACCATTGCCGGCCTCCTAGCAATGCCAATAGTCTGCTTGTACCTGACTACTGTTATCTGCATAAAGCAGGTCTGACCTCCATGGGGAAGGGGGGGGGGGAGGGTTAATGCCAACAAGCTGAATCCCCTGTATACTTTATATACCTCTCAGGGACCCCAATAGGGAGATTTCTCAACTAGAAGTCCCAAACCTCCCCAGTGGCTGAGACCATAGGAAGCAAAATGGTTATGATTCACTATAATCAGTATACACAAATAACTGGAGAGTTCAGCGGCCAGAGAGTGACAGCTTTGTCATGGCAGAGACACCCAATTCCAATGGTCAATCCCGCCAATGGAGCATCATAAGGGGGGGAAAGCTGGTGAGAGCTTCTGCCTATCAGTGCCAACCGAGAACCAAAATCTGGTTTGGGTGGCTTTGACCTTTAAAGCAAACCTGACCTGGTCTAAAATATGTCTACGGTAGTAAAAAATGCTTAAAATCCAGAGCTTGTACTGCCTGCTGAGGTCCTGGCATCTGACAGGTGAATGATGGGGGAAGGCTTAGCTTTAGGAATGGTGGGAAAAGCTTTAGGAAAAGTGGGTGCCGCTCCCAGTACCCTTGCGGCTAGCATCCCTTAATAAGCTGATAGAAGGAGCAGGTCGTAAAGTCTTCAAACCAACAGTGCTTGCAGCCCATCAGCTAACAGTCACTGTCAGAATACAAAGGAAACAGTGAGGGATTACGCCCGCGGGTTGAATAAAAAAAATATTGAACGGTGTATATTTAAGGCTGCATGTACAGCTTCCGCACAGTTAGCTGTCATGCTGGCCAGGGGCCTGAGGGGTAAGGCGCCACCCCCGCCAGGGGGCCCGAGGGGGAGGGTGGCGTCCCACCTATCTGTTGGCTGAAGGATTAGAACTTTTCTTAAAGTGTCTGTGTTTCCACTATAGGAATTCCACTACACTCTCTGTCCTGGTGACAGTTGTCACATATGAAAGTGAGAAGAACAGAGTGAAATCTTTCAATGGGGACACCTGTCCAACTGTCTTACAGGGGATTCCCCTCACCCTTTTGATTACGCCTCCGTGCAGGAAGTGAGAGGAAAGCTCCCCAATGGTGACACAAACAGCAATATAAAATGATGTATTGTCTAAGTTTTCACTGCTCCATCCAGAACTCCATTTTATTGAGTGCCGTTATGGTTTATGGAATCAATGATCCCCCCCACCCCCCTATAAAATACACAGCTGACGGCATACTTGAAGGAATGTAATGACCATCTCGTCTCGTAGCACTCATAACACTTCCGTACGCGCAATATAAAAATACTTCATACTCTATCTACACAGCTCTTTAAAAAATAGCGCTTCAGAATTTAGGTTCCCCCCCCAAAAGCTAAAATATCAGAAAACTCTACAATGCCCTATAAATAAATTGCGCCGTCTCCGGCGAGCAGTAAAATAAGATTGCCGCTCTGAATGGACATCCCGCAGGCTTGTCAGGTTCCATGCGAAACGCATCGGGATTCCTGCGCGTCTGGGCCCCGGGTGAATTGTCCGTTTTCCAGTGTACAAGTAGAAGACAGTAGTCACTTTAAACAACAGATTTCACAGAATTTGGCTTGTTCCTTTACGAGGGTCTGTTCCGTCCAGGCGGAAGGAGGCGGGGCTTCAGCTTTTCCGTAAATTGTGGTCCGTGCTGTTGACGAGGGCTGAAAGGGAGGAGCTTTCCGGAGATTCATCCTTTCTGAGATTCAGGAAGGATTCCCGTGTGATCTGGAGGATCTCACGTAAACCTTTGTTCTCCTGCTGTTGGGGAACAAAAGAAACAATGAAGGTCAAATGCAGCTTCTATCAACCTTTATAACACAGAGGGACCCTAAAAATCACTTCCAGATGTCAGGACCCCTGCTAACAATTACTAGATGAAGAGCTCAAGGTCCAATAAACTGATACAAGAATAAGGAATGTGATGTGCTCAGCCTATGTAAAGTCTTGGGGCTGCAACAACATTTTAATTCAGGAATTATAATGAAATGAAACAATAAATGGACAGAAAATCTCCGATAGTCAAAATTGTGTCCCCTTACACTGAGGGTTAGTGAAATGCTTCCATTGATTGGTGGTCAGTAGAGAGGGCCAACCCTTAGACTGGTTGTCAATGGGCAAAGAATCCTCTTACATTGATGGTCACTGGAAGAAGGTCCCCATTACAATGGTGGTCAGTGGGAAGATCATTGCGGTCAACGTTTACTTACTTGAGAGGCAGAATTGCTAATTTCTCAAGGAACCCCAGGCAATCTCTGGTAGATGTCTATGGAACCCTGGCTGAGAAAGCTTGTTTTGTCTTTTTATTTCTTTATGGGGGTCTGGATGTGGTTAGTGGACACTTGATGCAGACCCCCCCCATGTAGCTGTGCAGCAACAGATCCCTTCTAATAGTGATCTCTTGCTGGCAGCAATCAGCCAGCAATAGATCACTATAGCAGTCATCTGTTGCTGAAGGGATGCAATGCACAGAGCGGTAACAACTCTTTCCCGGCCTCCATACTCAGGAGGAAGTGCTGTGACATCACTACACTCCCAATGGAAACAGAATTCGGAAGCATAGTGCATTAGCGGAGAGAAGGTGAGTATAGATCGGCTTTATTTTCAATTACATAGAAATATAGAAACAACTTGAGTAGCAATTTTATCTTTACACGAAGAACTATGGAGCACCGCATTTCAGCTGCCGAAACATATGGGCTGAAAAAGGGAAAGTGCCATCTTTCGACAGAAATTGGGGTGCATCCATAGTCTCTCTCCTCCCCGCTGTGCGCTGCTCTGTGTCCCCTGACACAGCGCAGCGTCCAGCGAGAAGGAGAGAAACTGTCAGGAGCCAAGCGGGGCAAGGAGAGCGCTGTGAGAGGCTGGCGTCTCTCCTCCCACACCACTCAGCCTCCTGTGACAGATTAGGAGAGCGATATGGGGACGGAGACAGTTGCCAGTGACGTCACAAGAGGCTGGGCTCTCCTCCCGCACCGCTCGCTCAGCATCCTCAGAGATCAAGAGAGCGGTGTGTGGGCGGAGACAGCTGTCACTGGAGACCGAGCCGGCGGTGAGGGGGGAGGAATTAGCTGTGAAACTAGACCGAGCTCTCCTCCCTGCACCGCCGGCTCAGCTGTGACAGCCGATCCAGGATGGAGAGCGGGTACAGTCAGTGATCACTGAATGTTTGTAAATACCTGCAGATAGTATGTTACTATGTCCCAGTTATGAATGAATAGGAAGTTATCTACATCACTTCCTGTTCATTCACGATTGTGTACATGGTAACTCATACTATATCCACAATGTATGGAATCAACAGGAAGACTCAGTATAGAGGCTTCCTGTTCATTCAGTGCTGGGGCTGCAAAAAAAGAGATTGGGGACTCCGTGTTCTCAATCTTTACCTATTGTTGAGACCCCTGATATTTCCCCCAAAGACCCCAACAGTAAAAGCTAAAAAATACAAATATTTAATAAAAATAAATTAAAAAGTTTAGAAAAAAAAAGAAATAAAAATAAAATATTTAAGAAAAAATGGTTAAAAAAATTATTTTTGGTTTCGGCCGGACATTTTTTTATTTCCTGTTTCAGTCTCAAAATGTCATTTTGGTGCATCCCTACTAAGAACATATGTCACAACCGAAATGGAAGCAGCCATGACGCACCTCGAGTTTTAGGATCCTGTCGGATTCCTGGCCGCCACATTGTTCATCGATTTCAATCGCTCGCTTCATCACTGCCGTCATCTCGGTGATTTTTTCCACATGGGTCTGCAAGTCCTAATGAACACAAAACAATAACTTGTGTTATGGAGATTGAAGGGTCTTGGTTACGAAAAGGAGCAGTTGGCACCTTGAAATAAGGTAGCCGATCTCTACCTTGTTACAGAAGTCATGAGACAAGAAAAGGAATGTCCCAGCTGAAAAATGAATGGGATAGTACACACTTCATCTGTAACCTTCAGTTAACACTGAACTCCACAATAAGCGAATACAAGAGCCGCGTGTATACTTGAATCTTGGGGAGCTCGGTGTATTTCTTCCAGATCTGTGCAGTCGTCAGTGTGACACTTGGAGCTTCCTGTAATAAAGACCAGTCACTGCTGCTCGCCCTCCCTGTGCAAGATGACTGGTCTTGTCTCCACCCCCTCCTGTAGTTTTCTGTAAGCAACCTGTAGTGGGTGGAGCCTACTGGGTCCCTTCCACAGCTCTGTTCTCAGTCCAGGCTGTGTGCAGGACAGTGATGATGTCACTGCTACTTTTACACAGTTTTATCTGTGTTTGAAAAAGGCATTTATAGCACACAAAGTTTATTTATATCCTTTGTGGCTATTGAGGAATAGATCAAAATTATTATTTTCATCTTGGGGTGAAGCTTTAAATACTACAAAAACCCCATTTGACAGCCATTGACTACGCAAACCTAGAAAGTGTCATACTAAACTGGTTTAACCCTTTGACTGGCAAGGACATATAATACATGCAAAGGCAATCAAACAGATTGGTGAAAACTGTTTCATGATAGAGAGTGGAGGAGGGGTCATAGCTGTCGGATCCCAGCCCCTTGTGGCCAGAAGAGGAGAGGATCAGAGACTTTCTGTCCTCGATCTGATTGGCTTTAGTGCAGGGGAACCATTAGGGGTCTATTAATAAAGAGAACCTGCCACGCTCTACTCACTATCAGTTGTAAAGGTTTTTAAAGTGTTGTTTAAGGCTTGACATCCAGTTATTGGACCGGCTCATCTTCCACATTTCACAAAATGGGGATTATATTGTGTTACAATGAATTCAAATGTATTTCAGTGTATTTCCATTAACGGCTGTGGAAATATTGTGCAACATAATTACAACTGCCTTCACTATTCTCTAGGGCTTCTTCTTTTAGGAAATATATAGAATGTTTTGCAGGAGGGGGGAACATTTACAATAATAAAAAAAAATATGAAAAATAGTGTAGCGGATGCACTGCCACTGTGACATGAGATCTGAGCTGATGGACAGCGGCTGAGAACTAGAGAAAGTGCTGGTTGGCTCACTCTCCGTCTCTCTCTCCACCCCCTCCTGTCCTCTCTCACTCACCCTCCTGTCCTCTCTCACTCACCCTCCTGTCCTCTCTCACTCACCCTCCTGTCCTCTCTCACTCACCCTCCTGTCCTCTCTCACTCACACACACAGACATTGTGTTGATTTGTCACATCATTTCTGTTTCTCTATTTCCTATTGTTCAGTTTAATACAAGTCACCATACAGGACTAAACCTGCTCTAATAAAGCTCCCACAAGGTGTGCTGAGGATCCGTCCAGAAAGGTGAGACAGGAGTACCTTCCAGGAGGATGAGCGCTACAATAGCCTAAAGGGACAGCTCACATGGAGCAGATAAAGTACCGGATCTTCCCATGCAGTAATCACAGACACACAGAACGAAGTTTCCCTTTGTAACACGTGTCCCCCATTGCGGGGTGCGGGCGTACCTTGGAATGCTGCTCCTTCAGTTTGACCAGAACGCTGGGGTCGTCCTTCTTGCTCGCCATCAATAATCGGAACATTTGCTCTCGGTATTTGCTCATAATCAGCTCCAGCGCTGACTGGTGTTCCTCCAGGGAAGTGCGGAGCTCTGGGGGAAGAGGCACACAGACTGACAAATGTATGGAATGAAGATTAAGAAGACACAGAATTCCCCCTCTTGGGGCGGTGTGACATGTACAGGAGGAAAGCCGGCTTCTGGTCTGATGAAACACTAACTTTACAGTTGTACCGCTTCCTCTCCTCTGATTTCACTGCAAGCTTCTTATAGTGTGTATTAAAAAGTTGTAAGCTGTGTGTATCAGAGGTGTACAGCTGACTCTGACATCACTGCACACTGCGAGCGTCTCACAATGTGTATTAGAAGGTAAAACAATCAGATAGATTATAATCTTGACATAATCTAGCTCTTCCTCTCCAGCCCAACTGGCCCGTCCCTTTCACTCACTGGATTTCAGTTTCAATCATGGAGCCATTACCTAGCAGTCTGCATGCAAATACACCAGAGTGACATCTGTCCATCAAGGCATTTAAATATTTGCATAACTCCTCCCAGGAGCCAGCCCACTGCTTGTATAAGGTCTGAGTACTCTTGTGAGGAGTACTGGGACAGGGTGCAGTGATGTTTTCAGGAAGCTATATACAGCACCCTGCCAGCCCCTCCCACCAGCCATTATCTGCCTGGACTATAGAGAAGCACAGAGACCCAGTTATGTGTCGCTGGGTATAAATAAGATATGTATTTGAAACAAATAAAGTTTTATTAAAAAAATTTCATTATGTTGAGGGCAGGCACTATATAAATCAGATGAAATGTCAGCTTTACACATTTAAGACCGTGAAAGAACCAACCTTTGTTTTCCTGCTGAAGCTCCCGGATCTGCCGATTCTCCTGCTGGATTCCCAGCACTAGTGTAGACCGCGGCCGATGTCTCGCCACCTCGTTCAGTTCCTGAATTTCCTCCTGGTACTAGAAGAGGAGCAATCAGTGCTGACATCACACACAACGGAGCACAATACATGGACTGCTCCAAGTCTACAACAACAAGGGAGCGACTAGAAAGAACTCCCAATAACCAGAGGACCTGGACTTTCCAAACAGCATCTTCACCAATGTTTGGCCGAAGTTCATATTCTACAGAGTGACGTTCTATTTCCTGAACTGAGGTGCCGGCTCACATAGAACACAAACATCTCATCACTGCACTAGTGAAGAGGAGACTGAGGAAATGCTTCCTCCTACCTGCAGCAGACCGAGGACATTATCTCAGTCTGGGCAAAGCTACTGGACTGGAGATTAAGGACATTGTGACAGGTCAGAAAAGTATTCATACTGAGGGGTCCACTTTAATGGCAAGTATCTTACTGATGCGTTGCAATGATTTGGAAACCTCATCTGTGTGTAGCTTTCAATTATTTATGTACACAGAAGAAGCCATATTTGTCTATTCTATTTGCAGACTCTGTATGTTTTATAGGGGGGCAGAGACGAAACACGTTATCAGGTTGGTTGCAACAGGGGTGCATATTACCCACGTCCGGCATCCCACCCGGCTTACTGACATCACTGGTTGCCAGGAGCTGGGCGGGACACCAGCCAGAGCGTCCCAGGTTGCTAAGAGCCAGGCAGGAAGATGTATAAGGGCCATAGATATCTCCCTGTCTGGCTCTCAGAAACCAGAGTGGACAGGGAGATGTGTATGAAGGCGGAACCTGGTTGCCAGGAGCTAAGCGGGACACCAGCAAGAGGGTCCAAGGTAGCTAAGAGCACTAAGGGCAGCAGACACATGTGACTCAATGAGATGCTGCGTGGGGCAACTGCATCAGGCTGCTTCATTATAGGGACGGCCCTGCAGACAGCTATTATCATCTACAAAACTGTATGTAATATTCTAATGAAAAGACGGAATAGGAGGCGCTTCCCAGGCAATGGATGCAGTAGGATCTCAGTATGAAGTCTGATTACACAATGGAGTTTCTGCACATGCACCCTCCTGTGCTATCACTGATATTCATGTTATGGCAATCCATTACAGCACATCACTGACCTGTTTCATGGCCTCCACTCGCTTGTTGAGCACCGTTGTCTGCTCGATAAGGCACTCCGCCGCGCTGTCATGTTCCCGTAACCGTTCCACCAGGGATTTTGCATCGGCCAGAACGTTCTCGATTGTACAACTCATATTGCTGGGTGAAAAGAAACACATTTCATAGTCTTATGAATACTCCGCCTTTTACACTGTAAAGCCGCCTTCCCAAAACATTTATAACGCAGGGGAACCTGAATTTTCAGGCCTCAGGGAACCCCTTTTAATAATTGCTATATCTGTAGCCCATGATCCATTAGTATGAACAGGAAATCAATATATAATAATAATACTCCAAAGACATGCTGGAAGGTTAATTGGCTCCTCTCTAAGTTGGCCCTCTTTGTATGCATGTGAGATAGGGACCTTAGATTGTAAGCTATTGAGGGTAGGGACTGATGTGAATGTGCAACTATTGTAACAAGGACACTCCACTGTAGACCGGAGGTGCAAGTCAGATGCAGTTTATTTGCTTTCAAAACGGTAGATAACACGAAATCCAACATAAATAGCTTGCTGTAGCATATAACAGATAAGGGCTCACCGACATCTGTCTCTCTTGCAGCACTGCTGCTCCGGCCTCAATCTTTAGGGCCACTGTCTGGTTCCTCCAGACAACGGCAATAACATGCCAATCCTCTCAATATGGTTCGCAAACCCCACAGCTCCCTGCTGCACTGGCCTCCACTGACTCCAGGGTGGGGCTCTCCTGACTCACAGGTGGGGCCCTGAACACATCCCAGCACACTCTTCATGAGGGATGTACAGGGGTGCACGATCAGGTGCTGGTCACTACCAAAGCATGGACCCAGGAATGGAGATTTCCTCCCACCCAGAGCTCTAAGAAATCTCCTGGCTCCAGGATCCCAACCATGATTCAGAAAACCCGGAAAGAACTGAAAAGGCAGTTCTCTCCTGGTACACATACTGTCTTCCTGGAGCCACTCAGCCCCTCTGGCTGAGAACCCTGGGTGACTTTGAGGCCACCTAACACCGTGGTATTGCCTCACAATGCCACACTATGTAAAGTGCTGCGTAAATTGTCGGCGCTCTATAAATACCTGTAATAAATAATAATAACGGGCAGAAAAGATATGCAGACTGTGGAAATGGTAGTTTTCCCCTCACATTGGTGATCGGTAGAGAAATGCCCACTTACTATGATGGACAATGGAAAAGTGTTCCCCCACATTGGTGGTCAGTGGAGAAGTGCCTTCTTAGATTGGTGACTGATGCCCAGGGAGAGAGGGGAAGAATGCCCCCTTACAAGATAGTTGTCACTGGCTGGTCAGTGGCCACCTTAATCATCGCCCTCTAGGAACAACCCCCCAGAGTTACGCTTTAGGGCCCGTTCACACAATAGCATGGAAAGGCAACCTTGGCACTCCACTGTTAGGAAACTACAAGTCCCATGAGGCATTGCAAGACTCCGACAGCTACTTGCATGACTCCCAGAGGCAGAGCATGACAGGATTTGTAGTTTCACCACAGATGGAGTGCCGAGGTTGCCCATCTCTGCACTATAGTGTTGCACTAAACACACAGTACTAGGTGTAGCGCACACCATTGCACAGTGCACCCAGTGTGCGGTACCATGTTCTAGGTGCGTTGCATTGCTGTTTATTTGAACGGAACCCTACACTCCTCCCGGCTGCCACGCATAGCGGCTCAGTGCATTGTACGGCAAAACCGTGCGCTGCAACACACAGGCAGGGGGAGGTGCGTTGGGGTGCCATTCAAATCAATGGTAATGCAACGCACCTAGTGCATGGTGCTGGCTGGAAGGGGATTTACGCATCTCACACTCCTGGGAGCGTTGGACTTGAAGATTCATCGAGCGGCCATTGCTCCTCAGAAGAGTGAGAACTCCAGGAGCGGGAGGCGGAGCAGCCGTATATAAACCTATCGGGGGGAACTTTCTATTCCATTTTTTAATAAAAAAACGACAGACTTGCTTTAAAGAATTGACTATGTTCTGAAATCTTTATGACCACAAAGTGCTGATTGGGCGAGCCGTCACACCTTCCATATGATCAGGGACACATGGACGCCTATGTTTAGGCCAGTGACCTCCGACCTCAACATGCCAACACAGAGAAGCAGGCATGCCCTAAGGACTGCTCACACTTGTGTTGGTCACACCAGACCCGGAGTTCATCACAAGAAGAAACACTTGTTACTCCTCCAAAAGCTGATATTTCCGTGTTCAGTGGAGAATACAACTGGATGTAAAACTTGTTGACATTTACAGGGTTATTCATAGAACGGTGAACTTATTGGAGGAACGGGTGGGGAGGGCACAGCTGACTGTGACAGGGGGCTCTGCCTATCTAGAGGCAATCAGCCAGCTGGGTGGATCTCAACAGTATTGTCGGGATCCGCTGCGGCGCTCTCAGTATATCACGAGCTCAGTATATAGCGGGGGAAGGATCGGTTTTGGGACAACTAGAGGATGATGAAATAAGGAACAAAATGCAGTTTAAGTAAGTCTGGCCTTCATAAAAGGAAAAAAAAAGTGGAGGTTTAATATCACTTGAAGGTCCCAGATGTGTTTGTGTCAGGTCTTTATTGTTGTCAGAGTCCCCTCTAGAGAAAGAGCCATGCCCTCAATTTGTACTGGTGACCACTGTCATCAACATAGAAAGTGATTGGAAAACTAACTGTTTCATCTTGTCACCAGTACAGGAAGTGAGGGGAAAATCTTGCAACGGGGACATTACTTCCATTGACAGCTAGGAGGGGAATTTCCATCACTTTGCAGATTACTATTCACTTCCTGTTGCACCTCAGGGACAGGAAGTTAGAAGAAATGGCGTGACCAGTGGGACAGAGACAGCAAAAAGGAACCCGACAGCGTTTTAATCCATCCAGCATTCCATTTATTCCTATAAAACAAAGTTTGGGCTTTAGACATACTGTAACAAACAAAAGGTAAACAAACTCTCCTTTTCTGAATTGGGATTATTTTTTCTTCTCCGCTATGCAGACCTCAGATATCGCACCTCGTATCGGGTGATGTGTACACCGGCTGCACAGATTCTTACTCAAGGTGATACAGGTTGATCACAGATTGGCCTGACCAATCCCAATCTGTCGCCTTCATCCACCGGCCTGACCAATCCCGATCTGTCACCTTCATCCACCGGCCTGACCAATCCCGATCTGTCACCTTCATCCACCGGCCTGACCAATCCCGATCTGTCACCTTCATCCACCGGCCTGACCAATCCCGATCTGTCACCTTCATCCACCGGCCTGACCAATCCCGATCTGTCACCTTCATCCACCGGCCTGACCAATCCCGATCTGTCACCTTCATCCACCGGCCTGACCAATCCCGATCTGTCACCTTCATCCACCGGCCTGACCAATCCCGATCTGTCACCTTCATCCACCGGCCTGACCAATCCCGATCTGTCACCTTCATCCACCGGCCTGACCAATCCCGATCTGTCACCTTCATCCACCGGCCTGACCAATCCCGATCTGTCACCTTCATCCACCGGCCTGACCAATCCCGATCTGTCACCTTCATCCACCGGCCTGACCAATCCCGATCTGTCACCTTCATCCACCGGCCTGACCAATCCCGATCTGTCACCTTCATCCACCGGCCTGACCAATCCCGATCTGTCACCTTCATCCACCGGCCTGACCAATCCCGATCTGTCACCTTCATCCACCGGCCTGACCAATCCCGATCTGTCACCTTCATCCACCGGCCTGACCAATCCCGATCTGTCACCTTCATCCACCGGCCTGACCAATCCCGATCTGTCACCTTCATCCACCGGCCTGACCAATCCCGATCTGTCACCTTCATCCACCGGCCTGACCAATCCCGATCTGTCACCTTCATCCACCGGCCTGACCAATCCCGATCTGTCACCTTCATCCACCGGCCTGACCAATCCCGATCTGTCACCTTCATCCACCGGCCTGACCAATCCCGATCTGTCACCTTCATCCACCGGCCTGACCAATCCCGATCTGTCACCTTCATCCACCGGCCTGACCAATCCCGATCTGTCACCTTCATCCACCGGCCTGACCAATCCCGATCTGTCACCTTCATCCACCGGCCTGACCAATCCCGATCTGTCACCTTCATCCACCGGCCTGACCAATCCCGATCTGTCACCTTCATCCACCGGCCTGACCAATCCCGATCTGTCACCTTCATCCACCGGCCTGACCAATCCCGATCTGTCACCTTCATCCACCGGCCTGACCAATCCCGATCTGTCACCTTCATCCACCGGCCTGACCAATCCCGATCTGTCACCTTCATCCACCGGCCTGACCAATCCCGATCTGTCACCTTCATCCACCGGCCTGACCAATCCCGATCTGTCACCTTCATCCACCGGCCTGACCAATCCCGATCTGTCACCTTCATCCACCGGCCTGACCAATCCCGATCTGTCACCTTCATCCACCGGCCTGACCAATCCCGATCTGTCACCTTCATCCACCGGCCTGACCAATCCCGATCTGTCACCTTCATCCACCGGCCTGACCAATCCCGATCTGTCACCTTCATCCACCGGCCTGACCAATCCCGATCTGTCACCTTCATCCACCGGCCTGACCAATCCCGATCTGTCACCTTCATCCACCGGCCTGACCAATCCCGATCTGTCACCTTCATCCACCGGCCTGACCAATCCCGATCTGTCACCTTCATCCACCGGCCTGACCAATCCCGATCTGTCACCTTCATCCACCGGCCTGACCAATCCCGATCTGTCACCTTCATCCACCGGCCTGACCAATCCCGATCTGTCACCTTCATCCACCGGCCTGACCAATCCCGATCTGTCACCTTCATCCACCGGCCTGACCAATCCCGATCTGTCACCTTCATCCACCGGCCTGACCAATCCCGATCTGTCACCTTCATCCACCGGCCTGACCAATCCCGATCTGTCACCTTCATCCACCGGCCTGACCAATCCCGATCTGTCACCTTCATCCACCGGCCTGACCAATCCCGATCTGTCACCTTCATCCACCGGCCTGACCAATCCCGATCTGTCACCTTCATCCACCGGCCTGACCAATCCCGATCTGTCACCTTCATCCACCGGCCTGACCAATCCCGATCTGTCACCTTCATCCACCGGCCTGACCAATCCCGATCTGTCACCTTCATCCACCGGCCTGACCAATCCCGATCTGTCACCTTCATCCACCGGCCTGACCAATCCCGATCTGTCACCTTCATCCACCGGCCTGACCAATCCCGATCTGTCACCTTCATCCACCGGCCTGACCAATCCCGATCTGTCACCTTCATCCACCGGCCTGACCAATCCCGATCTGTCACCTTCATCCACCGGCCTGACCAATCCCGATCTGTCACCTTCATCCACCGGCCTGACCAATCCCGATCTGTCACCTTCATCCACCGGCCTGACCAATCCCGATCTGTCACCTTCATCCACCGGCCTGACCAATCCCGATCTGTCACCTTCATCCACCGGCCTGACCAATCCCGATCTCATGCCTTCATCCACCGTCCTGACCAATCCCGATCTTATGCCTTCATCCACCGGCCTGACCAATCCCGATCTCATGCCTTCATCCACCGGCCTGACCAATCCCGATCTGTCACCTTCATCCACCGGCCTGAATAATCCTGATCTATCGGCTTCATCCACCGGCCTGACCAATCCTAATCTGACCATCTGTCGCCATCATCCACCGGCCTGACCAATCCTAATCTGACTAGAGCTGCAGCTAACGATTAACTTGCCCCATCACATGCAATCACCATATCTAATACATGGTGCTTTTTTTGGCACCCCTGCACCTTCCCCAGTACAACCAGGGTGCAATTTTAAGATATCAAAACAACGGATGGGAGGGATTGGGGTTGTTATAGTTCCCTTGTAATAAGAGGCCGTTAAATCTGATCGTGGCCCGCTGTCTCCCTCTAATTACCGAATTCCGATGATCTCCGATCACATTCGGCGCCTCAGAAGCTCTGTCACCTCTCTTCACTTCCCAACTCCAAACACCGACGTCACCAGTCAGCGCCGAATTCCATGACGTACACTGAGGGACCTATTACTGCGCGTGCGCTCTACATTCTAACAAAATCCTCCCAAATGAAATTAAAATATTTCAACTCTCTTTAAAACAATCCCCCATTCTATGCATACGCAATATAATGTAATTTTAAAAATGTTTTAATCACGGCATTTAAAAATTTAGTGTGGTTGCGCATGCGTAGGCTTACCGACCCTTCAGTTACAGGGGGACTACGGCGGTCGGTAGGGACCAAACAAGATGTGATTGCGAAGTTGCAGTGAAAGAAACTAAACAAAACTATTAGTGTTTTCATTTTACTAAATACGAATCCTATCTATGTTCCGTATATCTTGTTTTTATTTTAATTTGTAATCATTTTTTGAGCTGCTGTTATACTGCGCGTGCGGACCGGCTAGCCCTGGGGGATGTACGGCGAGTGTGCGGGACCAAGAAGGGTGAGAGCGCAAAGCCGCCATCAATGGAAGAGCAGCCGGTGTTTGAGCCGGTGATAAGCTGATCTGGGAGGATTATGGGGTGTGTGGAATGGCTGGAAGGGTGAGCCCATCATCGTGTGCCCTTTGACACGACCATCATCACAGTGCTGGGCCCTCTGAACAAGTAAGAGCAAAGAGCCTTATGTACTAACATGTCAGCTGTGTACACAGTGCGGGGGTCCCCTTTGCTGGGGACAGCTGACGTCATCTCTGCAACATTGTTTCTTCATCTGAAATTTATTGCTGCCAACACTCAGCACATGAATATATGGAATAGGGATATGCAGGTTGGAGATGACTATTGAGGCTGCCAGTGCTGACTTTGTTCTGAAAATCAGGTGTCATGCTGATCCTCTGCCTTCGATACTTTTATGTCAGTGACTCAAAACAAGTATTCAGATCAGGAAAACACGTATCATGCTAAATCCCCAATCTGCTTACTTTTTCTGGGTTAGTGATTTAAAATATGAAAGCCAGAGGTTCGGCATGACAGCCAGAAATCTAGCATTTTCAGAGAGAAGTCAGCAAGGGCAAACTCTGTATTCCTAAGGCATTCTTTAACGTGGTCCTGTCATCCCAGGGTCACCCGTACACAATGCACAACCTGTAAATAAAGACTCAATATAATTACAATACCGATGGCCATTCTCCGGGAGAATGCTGGTAAGGTGAATATATGGGGGGGGAGTTGGCGGAACGGCTGGGGGTTTACAGATTCCCTGCCCTGATTCTTCAGGGTGCTCTGGAGTCACAGTGGTCACATGGTAATACAGGATTCTTAGGGCGCCATGAAGTCACAGGGGTCATGGGGTGACATAGAATGTTTAGGGTGCTCTGGAGTGGCAGGGTTATGGGGTGACACAGGACACATAGAGTGCTGTGGAGTAATAGGGGCTCTGAAGTCACTGCAGTGTTGGGGTGATGAAGGATACTTTGGTTGCTCTGTAGTCATAGGATGATACAGCATGCTTAGGGTGCTCGGGAATCACAGGGGTCATGAGGTGATACAGGATGCTTAGGGTGCTTTGAAGTCACTGAGTGATACAGGATGCTTAGGGTGCCCTGGACCTATGGGGTGACAGGATGCTTAGGGTGCTCTGGAGTCAGGGGGTGACACTGGATGCTTATGGTGCTCTGGAGTCACTGGGGTACACAGAATGCTTAGGGTGCTCTGGAGTCACGGGGGGACACAGGATGCTTAGGGTGCTCTGGAGTCACGGGGGGACGCAGGATGCTTAGGGTGCTCTGGAGTCACGGGGGGACCCAGGATGCTTAGGGTGCTCTGGAGTCACGGGGGGACACAGGATGCTTAGGGTGCTCTGGAGTCGCAGGGGTCATATGGTGATGCAGGCTGCCTAATGTGCTCCTGAGTCACAGGAATCACTGAAGACACAGGGATGCACTGGGATCACTGGAGAAATTAGGGTCACTTGGAGACACTGGAGTACAGATACTTTAGCAAGGGTCTCAACTTAGCTGTCCTCTGATTGGCTGAGGCTTTGGGTGAAAACCCAGAAGTGCTGTCAGCTGCACTCCAGAGAGAAGACCTGGAGCTGGAATGGAGGAGAGGTGAATATGACAATCTGACAGTTTTAACCATTTCCTACTACATTTCCCTAAAATTATTTTTAAAAAGTTTACTTTAAATAATTTTGACATTTTTCTTTTCTGAGACGTTGATTCGAGTATTTCTTACAGACTTGTTTTCCCGCTCTTTGTAGACAAGATGAAAACTTTCTCAGAGTCCCACAAGACGGTGTTTGTGGTCGATCACTGCCCATACATGGCGGAATCCTGCAGACAGCATGTCGAGTTCGATATGTTGACCAAAAACAGGGTGACACTGGATGCTTATGGTGCTCTGGAGTCACTGGGGTACACAGAATGCTTAGGGTGCTCTGGAGTCACGGGGGGACACAGGATGCTTAGGGTGCTCTGGAGTCACGGGGGGACGCAGGATGCTTAGGGTGCTCTGGAGTCACGGGGGGACACAGGATGCTTAGGGTGCTCCGGAGTCACGGGGGGACACAGGATGCTTAGGGTGCTCTGGAGTCGCAGGGGTCATATGGTGATGCAGGCTGCCTAATGTGCTCCTGAGTCACAGGAATCACTGAAGACACAGGGATGCACTGGGATCACTGGAGAAATTAGGGTCACTTGGAGACACTGGAGTACAGATACTTTAGCAAGGGTCTCAACTTAGCTGTCCTCTGATTGGCTGAGGCTTTGGGTGAAAACCCAGAAGTGCTGTCAGCTGCACTCCAGAGAGAAGACCTGGAGCTGGAATGGAGGAGAGGTGAATATGACAATCTGACAGTTTTAACCATTTCCTACTACATTTCCCTAAAATTATTTTTAAAAAGTTTACTTTAAATAATTTTGACATTTTTCTTTTCTGAGACGTTGATTCGAGTATTTCTTACAGACTTGTTTTCCCGCTCTTTGTAGACAAGATGAAAACTTTCTCAGAGTCCCACAAGACGGTGTTTGTGGTCGATCACTGCCCATACATGGCGGAATCCTGCAGACAGCATGTCGAGTTCGATATGTTGACCAAAAACCGCACGCAGGGAATCATCCCCCTGGCACCAATCTCCAAATCGCTGTGGACGTGCGCTGTGGAGGCATCTGTGGAATATTGTAGAATAATGTATGATATATTCCCCTTTAAGAAACTGGTAAGAGTCACAATTGTCTCCCCTAGTCAAAGCAGGCACAGCTGATGACTAACCTTTGTGAGCCTTTTTCTGGTGATCAGTGAAGCCAGTTTCCCAGATCCTAAACATGACCTGTTTGTCTCTTGATTGGACTGACTGTGTCCTGAATTCTGCATGAATTTGTCCTCTCTAACTGTCGGAATGTTAATCTGTGCTGTGCCAATCCAGGGCAAAGTAACAGGTCCACCTAAATGTTGTCCCACCCATGAGGGAAGCAAAGGGTGGGCAAGTTTATTCTAACACGTTGCCTTTTTCTCCATGGGTTCTCGTTACATTACCATTTAAAAAAAACTGCAGGTAAAGACACGGAAAAATCAAGTATTTTATATTTATACTTTTTTGCAGAGTTTTTCCTGTGCATAAATAATGTTTTATTCACTTGCAGTATGTCTCTGAGCTTCCTAGGGAATTAACACTTCAAAAACTGTTACTTCCACTCCCGCGTTTGGTAGTGTCTAATTACTGTATGTGTTGGCCCAACTCCTCCTCCCCTTCCTATATAACCATTTATGTAGTTGCCAAGGGAGGAAAGAAAGGGAAATACTAGAGAAGCGTTATCCAAATTCCGGCCCTCCAGCTGTGGTGAAACTACAAATCCCATGATGCATCTCTCTTCGGGAGTCATGTCTGTGGCTGTGAGACTCTTGCAATGCCTCATGGCATTTGTAGTTCCACCACAGCTGGAGGGCCAGAGTTTGGCTACCCCTGTACTAGAGAGTCACTTGAGTGACATCTCTGAGTCTGCTGGGCCTGCTGACATCACATCCAAGATGGCGGCTCCCAGCCGAAGTTTCAGGGTTTTCCGATGTCTAACAGTGGAGGATTTTACAAGTACATAACATGCCTGAAATATGTTAAATGCTCATTTCATTTTTTGGGAAGACCGTTGTTGCAATTAATTTGCTGGCAACATGGTCCCTTGAAAGCTGAGCTCCAGGCAGACAGCCAGATACATAGTTAAAAGTCATATATGTAAACTGTAATAATTTGCCAGAGGATTTTTCATACTGTCCAGTTTAAGGCTCCGTTCACGCAGACCAATCTGGCATTTCTGCGGCAAGAACCTACTGATTCCTACGGCAGGAATGCCAGGTGTAGTAGTAGGAGTATGAGTGCAAATGTTTACATGTGTACTGCAATTGAGACATGCAGCCGCTGTCACTGTGTCATTAACCTCAATGGGTGCAGCAGCCGCATCTGAATAGGGACACCTGGCATTCCTGTCGCAAGATTCCCAGAATGTGAATGGGGCCTTGGGATTTTGTTCCTGCTATCAGACTGTAGAACCAGATCCTGAAACGCTCTCAGACTCTTTCTGCAGTACAGCAATAGAGCCTGGTCTAAACAACACCCCCAGCCTGTGATTGAACAATAAAGATGCACTAGGATGCTGATGAGATCATCACTCTGCTGTGTCTTCCTGTGAAGTGTTAGATGGACAGCACTGCGCAATGCAGCAGATCCTGATTGGCTTACAGTTCTGTCCCAGTGATGATATGGGCAGGATATTAAGAGTCAAGTAGTATTACTGACTGTACAGTATATAAAAATACAATTCATGGTGTTTTAAAGAACCTGTGGCTGGATTTTAAAGGGTCTAGAGTAGGGCTGCAACAACTAATCGACATAATCGATTATTGAAAAAGTTGTCAACTATTTCAATCATTGATTAATCGGCTTCCGATTGGTTGCCCCTGTTCAGGGCTCCACACACGCTGCGTGCCACACCTCCTCCCCACCTCAGACCCGCACACCCGCATCCATGCTCCACACGCCACACCTCCTCCCTGCCTCACGCTCAATGCCCGCCCAAATCCACGGTCGGCACAGGGACGCAGGGAGAAGAAGTAAGGAGGAGCAGGTGTGGGCGGATGACAGCCGCCGATAGACAGGCCCCATCTCAGAAACAGGTTGCTAGAAGACTGCTCAGGTAAGCCTGCACTTTCCCCACATGGTGCTCTATAATCTATGGCTGGGATAGTGGGATTTGTATTCCTCTATAGTTGATGGTACATTGTGCTGTATATTATACAGACCAATGTACCATCAGCTATAGAGGACTACAAATCCCAGCAATACATTATACACTGTATGTATAATGTATTGCTGGGATTTGTTGTATTCCTATATAGCTGGTGGTATTCTGCATTGCGCTGTATAGAGGACTACAAAACCCAACAATAGTACATTATAGAGCGCAATGCGGAATTCCACCAGCTTTAGAGGACTACAACACCCAGCAATAGTACATTATACAGCGCAATGCAGAATACCACCAGCTATAATGTACTATTGCTGGGATTTGTTGTATTCCTCTATAGCTGGCGGTATTCTGCATTGTGCTGTATAATGTACTATTGCTGGGTTTTGTAGTCCTCTATAGCCAGTGCCATTCTGCATTCATTGCTATATAATTTTACACTTTTCATTTCACTATATTGCACACCACACTTTTTCTTTTTTTTCTTTTTTACCGCTTCCACCGCTCCAAGCTTGCTCCTGTGATGGACTGCAATCTCAATACAAACTAGTAGTCCCATCACCGGAGCCATTTTTTAAAATGTATTTTATTTTCTATCCGATTAACCGATTAATCGAACCTAATAATCGGCTAACTAATCGATTTTGAAAATAATCGTTAGCTGCAGCTCTAGTCTAGAGTTCATCTTTACAGTGTATGTAAACGCTAAAGAAAAAGTATATAAGATCTGCATTATGCATTTGCGCATACACGTAACCCTGTGTTTGATCTTTCATATACGTTTTACTTAGACATCCTGGCATACACAGGGCTTCCTGTAAAAGGGTGGCAATATTCAGTGACCCTACAGGATGCCTGCACTGTGTGCCAGTAGTCAGCATGGGTTGGGCTGCTGATAAGATTTGTTCATACCTCCTGCTGTTGGAAAAACCACAGCATGGGACTTGGGGGTCCTTTAGTGTACAGCATGATGATGGTACATTGCACTGCAGATGTAGAAACAGGGTAGTCACATTGCAATGTGTTTCATGTAAACCCTGCCTTTTACAATCATGCAATTGAATACTACATGTTCGTGTGTTTCTTATACAGGTGAGCTAACCTTGAGTCATAATGTTTTCTGTGTCTGTAGGTGAATTTTATAGTTAGTGATTCATGTTCCCGGATATTGAATACTTGGTCTCAAGAGGACCAAAACTTGCAAGAGGTAAGAGCAGAAACTACAAAATAAATTCTTATTTTGCACCCCACTTTGTTCTAGGGATGCACCGATACCGGTATTTTGGTATCGTGTATGAGTACCGATATTTTTTTCCTGGTACTCGCCGATACCGAATACCGATACCAGAAATCCCATTCAGAAAGCCATGTGGCATGTAATGACACGCCACCTGGCTTCCGGATTAGCCAGGAAGCCAGGTGGCGTGTAAAAACTTGAGAAAGCATCGCGCCGGCTTTCTGGCCAATCAGGAAGCCGGGCGCCATATAATGACGTGGCGCCCGTCTTCCTGATTGGCCGGGAAGCTGGCTCTATGCTCCCTTGTCACAAGTGATGAGGAAGCATGGAGCCGGCTTCCTGGCCAATCAGAAAGCCACCTGATTACTCGGTTACCATACTCGGCACCGATACCAATACTAGTATCGGTATTGGTGCATCCCTACTTTGTTACTAATTTCATGAACTTCTTTTGATAAATCCCATCTCTAGGCAAACAAAAAAACTACCCCTGCACTGCAAGGGTTCAGTGCTTGTTTACTCCAGGAGACTGGAGTAAAGCAGATTTACTTATTCAATTCCCGCTCATGCCGGCTCCCTCGGGGCTGTTAGACCGGTCCCCGCAGCCGCAGCCCCTACTCCCCTGAAGAGGAAGCTGACCATTGACATCATCATGTCTAATGCAGGTTTAATAGGCCTTAGACGCCAGGACACGGAGGAGGAGAACAGGGGAGCGCTGTCCACCAGGTGAACAGGAATCAGGTAAGTAAAAGTGCTTTACTCCAGCTCTTAGACCAGGGGTAGATGAACTCCAGCCCTCCAGATGTGGTGGAACTACCATCAGGCCCGGCTCTACTGCAAGGCAAGTCAGGCGGCCGCCTGAGGGCGCTGCAGGGTGAGGACGGAAAAAACGGCATTTTGCGCTATGGTTTTTTTTTTTTTCTTTTTTCACTTACCTTCGGCGCGGGAGAGCAGCGGCGAGTCAGCGCTGGTCCGTTGGGAGGAGCTCCAGGTGGGGTCCTAATTTAGCTGGCCGGCGACTGCCTGAGGTGCCGTGCGGACTCACC